GGGGGGGGGGGGGGAGCCACCCACTGGAGGACAGATTGTTTTTGAAAAGCCCTTGGCAGCCTTGCTCCATGCAAACAACAAACAGCTTCGTGTGGTCTTATCTGTTCCCCAGGCTGGCCCTGTGGACTTGGGCTTGGCATAGCCCCCTACCAAGGACCGCTGACCCACTGCTTCTCCCAAATAACCTCTCCCAGATCTTTGAACTTGGGGCCCAGGACCAGACAAGAGGCCCTGCGTGTGACTGGGTTCAGCTATGAGTCCCAAGCCAGGCACTTAATTTCACTGGCTCTTGGTTTCCCTGGCTGTAAAATGGGGAGAAATATCTCTGCTCTACTATCTCCTAGGGCTGGTGGGAGGCTCCAGCAGTGAAACATCTGCCAAGAATGTATCAAATAAGTGGACTGTGGGAAAGTGAATTTTTTAAATGATGTATCTTCTTATTCAGAATTTGCTAACTTGGGCTGATCAACCCTTGTAATTAGTGCACGTTTATAAGCTTTAATTTCCCTCTTGCTACTCATGCCATATTTTGTTTAGTGGGGAGCAGAGTGCAATGATGGAGAAAGCAGACAGGACTGAGGCAGAGGGTGCCTGGAGGAGTCCCAGGAAACCGAGGAGGGCTTCATAGCAGAAGGGACATTTGAGTTAGACTTTTAAAGAGAGGTCAATGTTTGAGGAGCTATACTTGGATGATAGGTGAGCCTCAGTCTATGGGGCTCTGGGAGGCAGAATTAGAGAGGAGGTGGGGGCAGATTCTGTCCCGATAGGAGGAAGACCTCTCTGCAGGTAGAGCTGACAGCATTAGGAGGTGGTGATTTTCCTGTCACTGGAGGTGTGCAAGCAGGAGCACCAGGAGATGTTTGTAGAAGGAATTTCAGCCCAGGTCTGAAGACTGTTGTGATCCCTGAGAGTCTAAGATCATGATTCTAAGTTGCAAGAGACAAGTTCACCCTGGACTAGCCGGTGAAACAAGCCAAACCCACATAAAACAAGACAAGTGTGCTGCAGGCCAACTGCTTTGGGCCAGCTAAACAGTGAGAATCACAGGCTCAGGGAAGGCAGGAGGGAGAGTCTGAGCTTAGACTTGGTAGAAGGGTAGGACTTGGAGAGAAGAGAAGGCATTTCTGGCAGGAGAGACTGCTCAGGCCAAGAAGTGAAGATAACCTACTGAAGCATAAGAGGTGACTGCTGCCTTTTTGAAGGCCCTTGACTGACTACTGTCTTATATTCTCACCTCTCCTGCACTTGAAGAGAGAAGGCAGGGCAGGGCACCCTTTACACCCACTAAGTCTTCTCCATTTCCTCAGTGCAAAACGGGGATCAAAATCCATAGCTCCCCAGGCTGTCATGGTTCAGGCACGGAGTTTGGCACATGCTGTTGGGATTTGAATCGTGGGGGTGGAGAGTGGGGAGAGGAGATGGGTAGGCACTGGGGAGAGAGGAAGCAGAGGAGGAGCTGGCTGGTCCAGGAGGGGCCTGGTCAAAAGTGGGCGTGGGAGATCAGAACCCCAGGAGAGGAAGTGGGGGTTCAGCCAGGCCCAAATGCTAGACCAGTCCAAGGTGAGAGACTCCTAGGCTAGTTGGGGATAAAACAGGTGGGACCCAGACCCACAGGCAGCATTCTTGCCTCCTCTCCACCTGATTCACCCATCATTTATTGAATATTTACTATTTACCTGACCCCAGGCCATGTGCTGTGCAGCAAAGTGGAGACGAGGGGTCACCATTTTTTTTTAATTTTTTTTTTTAGAAATTACTATGTGCCAGGTTCAGAGCAGGACAGGTCTCTTACTTGAACCCTTTGACAACTCGCAACAAGTTTGCAAGGCAGTGGTTGTAAGCCCCACATTGCTGAAAAGGAAACTGAGGCTCAGAAGGGTTAAGTGACTTGCCCAAGGTTACACAGATGGTAAGAAGTGGCACAGCCAGGAGTAGAGGGAGATGGATCCATCCTGAGCCCCTTGTTCCCTCCCCTCCCCACGCTGCTCCTGCAGTCCACTCTGGAGCCTGAGAGGAGGGAGAGGCCAAAGCAGAGAAAGGCCTGGGGTGCACCAGGGAAAGGCACATAAGAGACAGTGCTCAGAGCTGGAGGCCAGAGCCAAGGAAGGCATCAAAGGCTCAAGAGATGCCATGTGTGTGCTTGGCAACGGATGACAGGGCCGAAGCACTCATTTTCAACAGGCCCACCCTCCTGGGGCCACCACTTCGAGCCCCTGAGGCTTTGTGACCAAATTGCTTGCATGCTCTAGGCCTGGATTACAGTTCCTGGGGGACTGCAGGCCCTGGGGGAGGGGGATGGCGCCAGGACTTTGGCACGGAGTGGCTGTGACAGCTTGGCATCCTCTACCCTGCTGGGCCCTGGTTGAAGCTAACAGGGCCCTGGGGCCAACAGACCCAGCTGTGCAACATTGCCAGGCCAAAGAGGCCAGATGTCTGTCCATGAGGCCTCTGGTTATACTGCAGAGCTGACCAACACTGTCCCCCAGCTCTGCTTGTGCCCTTTTCAGCGGGATGGTATTAGGGCTTGGGCTAGGGCATTGGCAAGGCAGCTTGTCAAGGTTGGGACCATTCTGTGGTGGTGGAGTTAGGGCCTGGTCTGCACCAGGATCATCTGTTGCCATGACCAGGCATGGGTCTGAGCCCGGCATCACAGCGTTCCCCAGTGAGAGCTTCACCAGTCGGTGGGGACTGAACTCGTGATCTTGGCTGGGCAGACAGTCCCTGGCCTGGCCAGTGAATTAGCTTTTCCTTAGGAAACTATTCACTTTGCTCATTCATGGTGTCCCCCTCTGGGGCCCGGCGCCTCCTAAGACAGCCCTGTGTCAGACAGCCAGAACCACACCCTTCCCCTGTTGCCCAGTGCCTGAGGACGCTGACCTCACGCTGTCCTATCAGTGTGGGAATGGCTGCATTTTTGCTGGCAGCGGCTGCATTTCCTTACCACTTACTTACAGCCCAGCCTGCCCTCCCACAACCCTGGCCCCTGCTCCTGCTGCTTGGAGCTGGAGAGAGCTGGCTATCCAGCAAAAGACGCTCAGACCCAGCCTCAGGGCAGGCCCTCTCCAGGGAGACAGGAATTGCCTGGGTTTGAATACAAGGCTCCTTCTCTTTCCCTCTGTGTGGCCCCAGGTACATCCTTTAACTTCTCTGAGCCTGATTTCACATCTATTAAGATGAAGATAGTAATCCCAGCCCTTCCCACCTTGCAGGGCCACTTTGCAGAGCATAAATAAATACTTTAAAAACAAAAATTGCTTTGTGTACGTACAATATCATCAACATCATCATCATTGTTACCATGTTTTTATTAGTTCTGGCTAATGGAGGACTCTACCTACTTCCTCCCAGGGGTCCCAGGGGCTATTCCTGGAGTAGTTCCTGGAGGAATTCCTGGAGGAGTTCCTGGAGGAGCCTTTTACCCAGGTAATGTACATGAAACTTCCACACACCCAGGTAAGGCAGACTGTGAGCACCTTCATGAGAGGTGCACCTTTAAAAAAAAAAAAAATCTTTATTGATTTCAGAGAGAGGAAGGGAGAGGGAGAGAGAGAGATAGAAACATCAATGATGAGAGAGTCATTGATCGGCTGCAGCCCGCAACCCGGGCCTGTGCCCTGACCAGGAATCGAACCCTGATCACCTGGATCCTAAGTCGATGCTCAACCACTGAGCCCGCCCAGCTGGGTGAGGTGCACCTTTTGATAGTGCACAAGGGAAGAACATTGCCAGGCCTACCACAGAGGACCCACAGGTCACTCCTACTTTGAAAAGCAGTTTAGGTGACACTGTTTTACATCTATTAAGAGTGTAACCTTCTGAAAGATGGATCGATGCTTTTGAGGCTAAAGGAAACTGGGTGCCTTCACGCATTCCTGCCATTCAAGTCTTCCAACCATTAACCCCACTCTTGGAAATCCATTTAGAGGAAATAATCGAAAAGAAGAGAAAAGGAATGATCTGCAACAAGGTGCATAGGAGTGTGGTGTTTGCAAAATGGTAAAACAAGAAACCCACCTGACTGGAGGGTGTGATTAAGTAAACTCTGAAATATTACCCACTTACTAAAAAGTACGAATATGTTATCTGTTGTGCAGTGTGGTGAAGTGTTTTTCAAGTAAAAATAATATAAAAGCAATGACCATGTGTAGATTGGGAGGCCCTCCCACCAAAAGGAAATGGGCAGAATGTTGGAGCAATGCCATTAGGGGCCATACTTTCTTTTGATTTAGAAAAATGCATATTGCTTTAAAGTAGATTGAAAAAAATCAAAGTAATATTTTCAATACTTAAAAAAGTATTTGAGTGTTTAGAACTCACATGGAAGTGAGGGCAGCTACCAGCACACTCTTGGGCACAAACTAGCAAAGGGCTATTGGCCCAATGAGACAAACGAGGAAACTGAGGCTCGCGGAAGTTAGGGCTTGCCCAAGGTCATGTAACCAGGCAGTGATGGACTTGACCTTAGGTTGATGGGTGGCTTTCTGACAGGAGCACTGATCTGACAGGGGCACTGATCTCTCTCTCTCTATCTCTCTTTCTCTCCCCACAGGGACTGGTCTCGGAGGCCTGGGAGGAGGTGAGCTCAGAAACCAAATTTGGTTCCTCATTGATGGGATCTAAATGCCACTCTTGCCCACACAGGTCCTTAAACCTCAGAACCCCAAAAGGTCCAGGCATCCAGAGCCCCCTTGTTTTATAGACCAAGTGTCTAGTGGGGAGAGACTTGTCTGAGAACTGGAACCTACTGGCCTCCCAAGCCCCTCCCCGGGGCCTTTTTCCCCGTGGCCCCTGCCTTCTTTCACATTTCATTTGGTCCTCCACAACATCCCTGAAATGCTGGCTGAGCAGGTGTCATTGTCCCATCCAGAGGCTGAGAAACTGCGTCTGAGAGAGTAAAAATCACAAATCAGGGCTGGAGCTAGCTTCCCAGCAGACATCTAGACCCCGGGCTCCCAGCAGCTCCCTGTCCAAGGGAAGGGCTGTCCCTGACAGTCCTGTGAGGATGTGGAGAGTAAGCCCCCATGATACTCTTGCTTTGCCCTGGGGGGATAAATAGTAAGACAAGTGGGCTGGGGCCCCACATTCACGACCCTCTCTTCCATCTGCAGGTCTGGGGCCTGGAGGCAAACCCCCCAAGCCAGGTAAGACCTGAGGTCTTAGGGCACTGAGAGTGGGCCAGGGGGCAGGGGAGGGGGACCCACAGAGCTGTAGGCCTAGCAAGGGAGCCACTGGCAAGAGGCAGGAAGGAAGTGGTGGGCAGTCCCAGTCCCACAGTTATGAGCAGGCTGGGGCCAGGCCGCAGGGCTCCAGGGACAGGAAGTTGGCAGCAGCTTGTGTGAGGAGTGTCCAGCATCTGTCCTACAAGCACCTGTGTGCCCAGCTGCCCTGTCCCCTCTGCATAGGGTCTCAGAAACAGCCCTGGTGCTCAGGGAAAAGGTAGGGATTGGTGTTTCAGTGACCACCAAGTTTGTGGATGTCATTCTGGGACTCAGACACAGATGGTAGGCTCCAGACTCCACGTGGATGGTCCCTTGACTCCAGACCAAGCCCTCTCTAACCCCAGGCCAAGACCCTCAATATCCCTGACCTTGATAACTATCTGAGCCCTTATCCTGATCCCAGGCTGGACCCTGACTCCAGACCAAGCCCAAAACTTAACCCCAGGTTGGACTCTGACCCAGATGAGCAACCTTCTTGATCTCAGGCCCCTTCTAGCTCTTTCCAGATCATGGAGTTTTCCGGGAAGGAGATATGACTAGATTGTCCTGGTCTTACCGAATCTGACACCAGGGTCCACCATCAGTTCCAAAGAACACACCCCCAGGAAAGAGGGAGGGCATGCCCCTCCAGGAAGCACTGGTGGATATGGAGCAGGTGGAGGAAATGGTGTCTCTGTCCAGATTTATGACCCCATTGGCGTGAGATACTCCACATGTGGCCTTGGCACCCCCCACCCTGCTCTGTGTCTCCCTGGCTCTGAAGCCCGAGGCTCCAGGACAGTTTGGATGTCCAGCAGCTCTTACGAAACCCCGCTGTTGGATGATCCAATTGCAGATGAATCTGCAAGACCCAGATTCCCTTTCCTTACAAGCCCATCTGGGTTGTGAAACTCCAGGGCTGGGGCCAGGTCAGAGAGAGGCAGAAGGGCAGGAAGCTAGGGCAAGGGGTTTCCTGGAATCTGGGGTTCTGCAAGGCCAGAGCCCTGGGAATTCACAGCTTATCCTGCCAGAACCTGCCTCCTGCCTCCTTGGAGGGAACTTCACAAGGTCTTTCATGGTAGAAAGAATGGAGGGAAGGACTAGATAAGCCAAGGTATAGAAGGAAGTAGGTCTGTGCTTAGCCAAGAAGACCCAAACTGCAGAGGCTGTGACTGCAAAGCTAGAGGGGGAATTGGCTGATCCCATTGACAGCAGGGACCACGTGGCAGGTTATGATTAAACACAGGAGAAAACTGCGTAGAGCCCCATAATGGACGGTAGCTAAAGTGAAGCTTTTATTAATGATTCAGTTTCAACTTCCAAAAGAACTTTCAGGTCAGCGTGAAGGAGTAGAACAAAAAAAATTCTGAGTATCTCCTTCTGATGAAAAGGACTGGATCCCGCAGCCTCCCTGAGGTCATTTTTTAGCCTCAGGACTCTGGACTACAAAGCCCTGGACAAAGCCACAGCCCCCCTCCCTCCCCCGGGCCGCTCCCCACATCCATCCGGGCCACGGGGATGTCCGGGCCTGCCCAGGCAAGATGGAACGGGGCACGGGCAGTGTGTGTCGTGCTTGGGAACAATTAATCCCTTGGCAAGTAGAGGGTGGGTGGCCTGGCAGCTGCTCCACGTGGGCCTCGGCGGACTGGCCCTGCCTGGGCTCTCAGTGGGGGACCAGGCAGCTGGGAGCCAGCAACACCCACACCCTTAGCACCGGCTGGAGGCCAGCCACCCACTCGAGAGGACCGGAAGGAGCAGGGCACACCCATCACACACTAGGTGCTTTCTGCTCATGACCTCATTGGTCCTGGGAAGGTCAGGGACACAGTGGCCATTTTGTGGGTAGGGAAACTGAGTCTCAGAAAGGTGAAGTGATTTGCTTCTACATGCATAGACTCGGCAGGGACAGTAGTGTTTGAATTCAGAGCTCTCTTATTCCAGGAAGAGAGAGGGCTGGGCTGGCCAGGCCCCTGGGCGCCCAGCTGTGGTCAGCATCTCATCCCTCTTTTCCTCCTTTCCAGGGGCTGGACTCCTCGGGGCATTTGGTGAGTCCAAAGGAAGGAGGGCAAACAGGAGAGGGGCTGGTCATGCTGGAGGGCGGCGTTGGGAGGAGTGTGCGAAAAGGACAGATGGCTTCGGAGAAGTTGCCTGCTCCCACCCCCACCTGCCCCAGCCTCTTCTCACTTCCTGTTCAGTTCCCATCTTCTCTTCCCTGCCCCTCTGTGGTCAGGAAAGATCCCAGCTAGCATGTCCCCTGCCCCGCTGGAGCTCAGGAAACAGGCCTGGCTTGAAAGGAGCCCCTGACAGAGCTGGGGAGGGGCAGGGACCACAGTGCTGGGAAGTGAACTCCACACGCCCGAGGCCGGGCCTCACCCACAGCATGCGTGCCTGGAAGGGAGACTAGCCAGAGTCAGTGACCCCTCTTACAGAGGGGCTGGCTGAGTTTCAGAAGGGGCCAACTCACACAAGTAGGAAATAAGCGTGTGGGGGGTGAACCACACCCAGTGAAAGCCAGGTAGACCCTCCAGGGCTTGGCAGTCCCCTATGTTTGGGGTCAGTCCCAAGAGAGGGCTTCCCTGGGCTCAGGACCCTGGCAGCCACGACTGGCGCTTGCAGGAGAGATTCTCACATAATTGGAAACAAACCCGGCACGCTTGTGAACTCCAACCTGATTGCCCATCAGTCCTGGCCAAAGCCATGGAATGTCTCCTGGAGGGGGAGAAGGAGCGATTGGGCCCAGATGTGCAAAGGAGAGAGCCAGAGGGACACATTTGACTTCTCATAAACATTTTAGCATCCGTCTGAAATTGAGGAGGCTCCTGGACTGCAGACAGGCTGGATGGACAGATAGACAGATGGTGGGGGACAGAAGGGTCTCCAGATAAAAGGGAGAGGGGATGGGCTGAGCCAGGATACACCTGCAAGGAAGCAAAAGAGAGGTCTGGGGTGGGAGCTAATGTGAGAGCAAGGCAGGGCCTGACCTGGGTGAGGTCTTGCTGGCAGACTCAATTCGGCTTCCACGCTCACAGAAAGCCCTGCTGAGTCCCCCATTAGCTGGCAGGCCTTTTAGGGGAAGTAAGGCCTGGCTTAGGGGCATTATAAGGGGAATGGTGGGGGGCAGTCAATGCAATTACACCTACATGGTACATAGCAGCTGGTTGCTAAATGGTAGCTACTGTTTTATCAGGATCAGCCCCTGAGTACCAAAGGCTTAAGTCCAGCTTAAGAGCCCGAGTGGCTATACACTGACCACAGAACTGTCTAGGTCCTGCCTGCCCCTCATGAGACCCTTCCTACCCGGGACCCAGGAATGATGCCTACACATCAATCTCTCCTCTCCTCACCTGGCTCTGTCTCCTTTTCCCTGCAGGTCCTGGAGGGATCGGAGGTGGCCCTGGGGCAGGTTAGTGTTGACACCCAATCAAGATGCCCATCTAGGGGCCAGAGCCAAGCCCAGGTCATCTGTCTGGTATGTGGGCCAGACCAGTCCTGGGCACTGGTGTGGGAGTGATGCTGAGACCACTTCCCCCAAGAAGCTACCCAGGACACAAGGAAGTCACCGTTGCATCCTGGGTGTTATTATAACACAGTACTAAGAGCTGGTAGGGAGAGGCTGCAGGGGCCAATGGAGCCCAGAGGAATTGCTCAACTCAGCAGGACTTCAGGAAGGCTTCCTGGAGGAGGGAGTGTGGAAATTTGACCCCAAAAGATCCCTGCAGTTTTTTTGTCAGGCTGAGCAGAACCATCTGGCACATATTGCTCTCCAACACTGATCCTGGTGCTGGGGGCAGAGGCCGCGGCTTGGCTTGGAAGTCCTGCAGAGAGTAAAAGAGCCACCTCAAATGTGCCTCCTGTGCAGGGCTGGGTGGGCTCAGGACCTTACCTCATCCTTCCCTCCACAGGGCTCGGGGCCTTTCCCGGGGGCGCTTTCCCGGGGGCTCTAGCGCCTGGTGGAGCGGCTGGTGCTGCCGCAGCCTATAAAGCTGCCGCCAAAGCTGGTGAGTGTGACTGTTTGGGACATGCTGTAAGACCTTCCCACCTCTGTGGACTCTACATTTTGCAAAGAACATTTCCTGGGAGGCAGGCAGGATCCTCATATCCAATCTACTGGGGCTCAGGGAGGCAACCAGTCTTCAAGTGAGGTGGTGTCAGGATCTGGGCTCTCCACATGCACCCAGGTCCTCCCTGCCTCCCACTGCTCCTTGCATGATTCCCAGCCTCTCCCTCTTCTGGCTCTGTAGGTGCTGGACTTGGTGGTGTCGGTGGACTTGGTGTTGGTGGCTTAGGAGTGTCTACAGGTATGGTGGCTAGCCCTGAGTTGTCCAGGTGAAGGCTGAAGGCCTGGTGACACCCACTCTGATGCTGTCCCTTCCATTCCAGGTGCAGTGGTGCCTGGAGCGGGAGTCGGAGTCGGAGTCGGAGCTGGAGCAAAGCCTGGAAAAGTGCCGGGTCAGTGTGGAGTCCCTGGGGCTGGACAACAGGGCCAGGGAGGGGCTGAGGCTTCTGCTCCCATACCGGCAGGAAAGGTGGTGCTTGGCTGAAGCAGGGGAGAGGTACCCCAGCCTACCTTCTGGGCCATTCTTCTAGGACCTTGGAACAAAAAGAGACCTCAGAGATAGGCTCTGTGGCAGACGTTCGGGTAACAGATGGGGACACTGAAGCTCAGAAAGGAGAGTCAGTGCAGAGGGCCCTTGGTGGTTACAGCAGAGCCACGGTGGCCAGAGGAGCCTTGACTCCCCATCTGGTGCTCATTCCTCTGCACCAAGCCCTTGAGGAAGTGACTTCAGGTTAAACAAAAGCCTGCTTGAGTCCACACAGCAGGGAGGGAACATCTGGAAGCTGTTAGCCCCGAGGTGGGCTGGGCCGGCCATGTAAACAGGCTCCAGGAGACAAGATAAATCCACGCACAGAAGGGTTTGCAGATGACTTCTGAAACTCATGGGAGGAAGGCGGCCACCACACATGTGTCCCTGGCTGCCCCTGCCGGGCACTGGGGTGGCTGGTTCATGAGCCCTGGAGCAGTGGATGGAAGGGCCAGGGAGGGGTGCTTGGAGGCTGGGTTGCTGCTCACGGCTCCTTCTTTTGGCCACAGGTGTGGGTCTACCAGGTGTATACCCAGGTGGAGTGCTCCCAGGCACAGGTAAAGTCAGAGAGGAGAAGGGGACCCTATAGCAAGGAGATCATCTCCTGGCAGCCCCCTTGGTGACCCTTTACCTCCCTGCAAGCCGAGGCCACTGGAAGCCTTGGTTGGGTCCTTAAGCATCAAAGCTCAGGCTCAGGGACACTGGGCTCCTGTCATCTTTCCTCTCTCAAGCCTTGACCCCAGGCTCAGACCTAGATCATTGTCATAGCCTGAGGTGGGCCCCTGAGGATACACTAAGTCTCCAGTATAACCAGCTGATTCCCAAAAGCCATGAGTCACCAGGGAACCCGCCCAGAGCATCCGCCCTGCAGGAGACCCTCAGAGCTGCCCTCTCACCCTCCTCTCCCTGCCAGAGCCTGGCCACCCCAACCAACATGTGACCTCCTGAATTCCCCCAAAAGCCCAGACTTGGGCTGCTCTGTGAGATTTGCTGACAGTGTCCCTCCCTTGTCCCTCTGGCCAAGGTGGCCCAGTCCCAGGAGAGACAGGAGAGGTGGGAGGGCCAGACAGTGTGGACTTCCCAGCCCCAGCAGATGGCTGTGTGTGCTTGGTTGTGAATGCATGTCCAGCGAGGCCCCGATAGGGCACAGGCTTCCCATGCCAGCTTTTACTGTCTGCCTTCTCTGGTAATGGTGGACAGAGCAGCTGGAAATTCATTCCAGCTCAGAAACAAGGCCAACTGAGGCACAAGGTCACATAGCTAGGAAATGGGATTAAAATTCAGATCTTCTGAGTCAGACAGGGAAGAAAAGTCACCACCAAACAGCCCCTACCCCACAAGAGCTATGTCCGTCACTGAAGGTCAGTGCAGAAGGAGGTCAACTGCGTGACCCAGGGGTGGAATGGGTGCCAGGCTGGGCCTTTGAGGCCTGCCTTCCCACTCTCACTGCCAGCCCCCCTTTTCTCTCCTACAGGAGCTCGGTTCCCAGGTGTGGGGGTGCTCCCGGGGGTTCCCACTGGAACAGGAGTCAAGGCCAAGGCCCCAGGTATGTGACCAGTGGGCTGGGGACCCATGGTGGGACTCTGTACCCACCCTCAGGCCCCTATTGAGGGGAGTGGGAGTCGGGCTGGAGACCTTGGGCTCAGGGCCCTCTGGGTGGGCAACCCTTGTACTCCAGCCTTGGTGTAGCTGGCCAAGATGGACAGAACACCTCTCAGAAATCCCAAGTGTGTGTGAGGGCAGCATAAACCAGGAGCTCTGTGCAGAACTGGTCACTACTTGGGCCATCCCACCCCTCTGTGCTGCCCAGCACCAGCCATTGGTGCCTTTGTGCCCTGTGCCCACGGTGGAAGGACTACAGTGATGATTCCTTGTCATTGCAGGTGGAGGCGGAGCTTTTGCTGGAATCCCAGGTGAGACAAAGCAAGAATCC